AGGGCCACACCCATTTCTGCCAACAGTTGTGCATTTAATTTAAAATAACTTTTTAAACATACTTAAATTTGAAAAGTCAAAGCAAAAACTGCCTGCAGCATCTCCCCCTCTAGGGCCAAGGTGCTAGTTTGGTCACACTGCTCAAAGAGGTGTTACACTACCCTTGCCCTCCCATTCTTCAAACCAAGGTTAAATATGGTACAGGGGAGGCCATGCCAGCTGTTTAACTATGAAAAGGGAGCAGCATGGGAGAGGACAACACAGATAATTTGGGATCTGTCATCTGTTATTAGGTCAGTGGATTCCCACATACTGTTGCGGTCAAACTCCCTCTAGCTTCCACACAAAGCTGCTGTTGGCAGAAGCACTTATCCCAGGGATAAAAGCTCTTCTTGGACCCAAACTAACCCATCTAGCTCTGCCAAATGAGTTTCAAAATACATTCTCCACCACAGCTTCCTAGACTGACAGTCTGCAAGCAGGTTTTTTTCTGGGGTTTTGCTCATTCTATGTTAGGAAATATAAGAAACTGCAACTTTAACCTGGAAGTGGGCTGAAAACCCAAGCTTTATATTTGTCTAGCTAGACACAACAGCTTTTACACAGGTGCAATGACTTGTGATGTGAGAACAAGTGATGTATACTGCTGCTTATTGAAACAGATGGATAACAAACTATTCAGCATTTCCATGCAACAAACAGTTAAGGTAGGGAATTTGATTACTAATACAGTAAGTGGTGTTTCCATGTGTGGCCCTTGCTATGGGATGGGACTTGCAGCAAAGGATTATGTTCAAAATTGCAGTTTTTTCTCTTGATACCAGCAAAGCCATGCAGTCAGGACTCAGATATTTCTTTTGTAGTCAGAAGACAGGAATACTCCTCAACATTATTCAGGCTCTTGAAGAAATCCAAATAGTTGCCAAGTCAAAAATGTTATAGAATCACAGAATTGTTTAGGTTGGAAATGAGCCTTGAGATCATTTGAGTTCAACTGTTAACTCAGCACTGCCAAGTCCACCACACATTTATGTCCCCTGGTGCTGCATCCAAACATCTTTTAACTACCTCCAGGGATGGCAATTCTACCACTTCCCTGGGGTAGCCTGGTCCAATACTTGACAATCCTTTCCAAGAAGAAATTTTTCCCAGTATCCAATCTAAACCTTCCTTGGCACAACTTGAAGCCATTTACTCTCGTCCTATTACTGGCTGCCTAGGAGAAGAGAACAACCACTACCTGGCTACAACCTCCTTTGAGGCAGTTGTAGAGAGTTTTAAGGTCACCTCTGAGCTCCCTTTTCTTCAGGTTAAACACCGCCATCTCCCTCAGATGCACCTCCAAGGACTGGTTCTCTACAGAGTCACAGATTCACCTGACACAGCACATGCATTCAGCAGGTAACTTTTAAGAGCACACTTTCTGCAGTACACATACACAATAGACTCCTCCAGCCTCTCCAGAAAGCAGTGTGCTAGTGTCTGGTTATGATTAACATAGCCTCTGAGTAATGCCACATGTTAACAGCCTGTCCTGCTGGTGACTCAGCCGAGGGCTGCAGAATGCGCGCAGGGCACAGACGATGCCAACCTCAGAGTTCAGCAAATGAACAAGCCACCAACTGCTGCAGGTTTGGCTAGGAGCCAGCAGCAGTACTCTGCCTTGCTATGCAGGCAAATGTGTGTGCGAGTGTGTGCGTGTTTTCCTCACCTTCCTTCACTAGCTGTCTTTTTTAACACATCTGTACTTGATTTGGTTTCTTGGGATGAAGTAAGGCTGTGTTAATCAGCAAGACAAAAACACACTGCACAAGAGCCATTAGCCTTCTTCAGATGTCCCTACAATGGCCTCATGGCAGTTTCTAGATGAATAATATTATTGGACAGAAGGAAGTAGAAGTCTAATCTCCACAAAACCCCTTATTTTTACTGGGCAGTATAGCTCAGCCAGAGACAAAAAACGGGTGCAGGAACAAACACGGCTCTGAAACTCATTGACTAATTAATTAAAAACAAACTGATATTCAATGTGTAACACTTCCTGTTCAAATGTCATCTTGGAAGAGTTAAAGGCATTTGTACCCCTCTAGTTTAAGGATGCTACTAAGCAAAGCCATGGGTTCACAGAACTGAGTGAACACAAGGACAGCTCTGGGCACATTCAGCAAGTGTCTGAACTAAGAAGACACAAGGCCAGGATTTATGGTATTTTGAAGTAGCTTGCATAGGAAAGGTTTGATTAGCACTTGACTTGCCCACCTGCCCATGTGGGAGGTTGCCAAGAATAAAACACACGAAGCCCCAAGACAGCTAAGGTTCATAATTTCCTCTTCAAGAACTTTCCAGACAAGCTCTTTTGCATGGATTCAAAAGAATATGCCACAGACACTCCAGAAAGCATTATTAAAGCCACATGAAGTTATTAACTTCAAAATAAAGAATTCTTTACTTTCTTGCCAAAGGCTGAATTTTTTCCAAGCCTAGTAAATTAACTAAACAAGGTCTCAATTCCAAGCTATTCAAGACATCTTATACTATCTTATATGCATCTAGAGAGTTGTATTATCTAATGTGACCCACTACCTTTAATTAATGAGTTGAGAATTCCTCCTGACCACCACCATTTACCTAGTCTGCAGCAAAATGCGCCTTACATACATGGGACAGAGGTAAAAAGTTCAGACATCTTCAGATCCCTGACAGACAACTGTAATCCAGTCAGTAGAAATTATACATACATATTGCTACATATCTACCAAGGTTTTTCTTATCTCCAGGTTTGTCCTTCTGTGAGGTGTAAGTACCACATTATCATGTTGCTCAACAAAACCACGTGAGAAGACGTTGTATGAGAAGGGTCTGACTGGGCCCAGAGGGGCAAGTCAGTATTAGGGTGCTCTCTGTACAGCAGTAATTGTTTCACTGTACTATGGAAAGAATGGGTTGGGGTTTGAAATGCTATTATGAGTGGACACAATTTTGGAGACTGACAGTCATAATGAGCAAAAACACTTAGCTATTTATTTTCAGAAACCTGAACAGCTGACAGGAAGTCATACCATATTCTAGTCAAACCCAGGATATAATACTTTTATGAACTCTTTGTATTTGCACTAGATAAGACCAGCAAGCAGGGGAGACAAGCCCAACAGGTTTAGCCATTAAAAAACTGCATGATAGATCTGTTGGGAGTTGGGTGTCCTTCCTTTTGTTCCTTCTCACCTATGGAATTTTTTGCCCATTAGCTGTGGGGAAAACCCCGAAGGCTGGTAGTTGTTGGGCGCTTGAGAAACACAGGCAGTTTGGCTGGGCCCAGCAGGGAGGACGGGGGCAGCTGGGGACTGGCTGGTTTTCTTGGGCTGGAGAGCGAGACACTCTCTCAGAGCTGTTGTGGCTGGGAGAAGGGAATTTGCCATCACCCAGACGGAGCTGCTGCTGCTGCTTCTTTCTTCTCTGTGTGCCTCGCACCCCCTGTCCTGCCGGGACGTGTGGCAGTGCCAGCCACCGCCGCAGAGCTGCTGATACACCTCGCTCGTCCACCAGCCCAGGATCTCTGCTCGTCCCTGCTGTTCCAGCCGAGTGTTCCTCAGAGCCCTGCAGGAGCAGCGGGACTGCCCACCCGAGGGGGTTGTGAAACAAAGCCTCTCCTCCATCCCTTCCCACCTCGGCCGAGAAGGCTGTCACAGGATCTCTGGTTCTGTTTTGTTGTTAATGCTGTAGTTATTGTTGTTTGTGTGCCTCGTTATACACACTAGTAAAGAACTGTTATTCCTATCCCCAGATCTCTGCCTGAGAGCCCCTTGATTTCAAAATTATAGTAATTTGGAGGGAGAGGGTTTAGATTTTCATTCCAAGGGAGGCTCCTGCCCTCCCTAGCAGACACCTGTCTTCCAAACCAAGACAAGATCAAAACTGAGCACCAAGTTTCTGAAACAGATCTGTTTTAAAATAAAGCCTAAAAAGTACTTACACCATACTGGAGAGCCACCCCTTTTTGTGTGTGTGCAATTGTAGGGTTCTTTGTTTAGTTCGAACAATTGGTTCCCTCACTGTGGATATTATACTATCGCCAAGACAGAAAAAAAATTAAAATGTAACAAAGACAAAAAAAAACCTGAATCTGAGGTCTGTAAAAATCATGGATTGTACATATGTCAGCAACTTATGTCAAGGACTAAAGTTTAATATTACAACTACATTAACAACAAAATTCCATGAAGTTGTTAATGCCTTCTGTGTTACCACTTAGAAGGGGGAGAACAACAAAATCAGTCTTTCTTTTTACAAACCTTATGCTAAGAGTGAAGATCATTTGGCCCAGATGACTTGGAACAATTTCAACTAAAATATATTAATCTCCAAATGAAGCATTTCTGAATCTATCTTATTACTAATATTTACTGTCCCTTTATTTTCCTCACTCTTCACCTGTCTCTAAAAAAATACGGAAAAATAAAAAGGAATTTGAAAACTCAATTTGATCTGTTTTGTGCTTATGGGCCCAGCCACACTTGGTCAATGTTTAAGGGTCTTGTTTGCTCTATTTTAAAATATGCTTTGCACATCATCAGGTATATTTTATTGCGGATTTTTATAAGGCTTATAAATTTAGAAAATTTATAAAATATTATAAAACTTATAAAATATTATAAACCCTATAAATTTTATAAGGTTTATAATACTTCAAATATAGGCATATATAAGTAGCATCTTTTCAGAACACACTTGTCACTGGATTCATTTTAGACACGACACACAAGCCAAATAGCATATTAAGTATTCTTAGGCATACTGAACATCATTCTACTTGTCCCAGTATCACCACTCTTACAACTCCTATTGTGAAGTTTTTAATTGTACCAGAAAAGCGTCCTACAAAACCAATGTCCCTTGTGCAAAGCAGCCAAGTAAATATTCAGTACTGGGTAGCTAACATTTTTTAGATATTTTAGATATAGATATATATTTTGTTATCACTTAGATGGAAAGAGCATACTTACTGCTACGAAGAGCATGCAGTACATGGAGAATGAAGAATGGCCAGAATAAAATGATAGTCTGGAAAAGAAAAGATCAGACCTCATCAGTTTTCTTTTACAACATTCAGTCTGCAGTGATACTAATCTATACTATACAAGTGAACTGGTAAAATGCAGACGTGTCCATACTACTCTTCAAGGAGGCTCCCTAGGCACATCACACAGATTTTGACAAACAGTACAGACTTCAGCTGATCTCTGTGTCAGGCAGTAAGTAGTAGACTTTTAACTGAAGTTTGAACAGCAAGGGAACATACCTTCAAAGAGAGTAATCAAGTGTCCTTTAATAGTCCATCTTGACAAATACCAGAATACTTGAAATATAATTACTTCTTAAAATTCCTTATCTTATAGTCACAGTATATGTATGAATACAAATGACATTAATCACCCCAAAACATCTAGTCACCGTCAACAGGCAGTAGTTAACTCATATCTAGTAGACTACATTACATCTCTACACCTTTGCGAAATGTATCATTCATACAGACCCTGATCATTTATCATTGAAGGGTAGGGAGAATGGCAGGAATGCAGTTTATTAGCCAGCCAACTGCAAAAGATGAAACCTCATCTAATATTTGTATGAATTATTTGTACTTGGTGATCTCATTTAAAGTGTCAACATTGCCTTCAGCTCCCAAAGGCTTTTATCAGGTCCAGGCTGAAGGGACTTTACAGTTGACACTGTCCAGGATTTCCTTTGGCCAAGCCCTCCCCCATACAGCTGGTTTTGTGAGGAGCCACAGCTGTAAAATAAATGCCACCTACCTCTTCAAGAAGAGAAGGCAAAATGGAAAGGCATTTATAATTTAGTCTTAAGCAGGCAGATGAAAGAACTCTACTTAGCACTTATTTTTTCCATTTTATGCACAGTCTTGTTAACAGTGCTGCTTCACAGGCCACCAGCCAGGTCTCAGCCAGCCTTCTGTGCAGTTTAACTACACAACCACAGCACCCTTCCCTCAGCAGTCTAACATACAAAAATATGGCCAGCTTAATAAAGTCTCATAGCTCTGTAGACTGACCTCTACCATATCCAGCAAATCACTTGCCTCTGCCAGGCACAGACCCTGAGGCCAGGGAAATTCCTGGTCAAGAGAAACATTTCCACTCTTTGGACTAGGAGTAACAAAGGCAGCTCTGACATGCAGCAATATAATGAAGTTACAGGTACCCTACTCAGAACCACAAAGAAGGAATGAAAATGTCACGTGCACAATTGAAACTGCAAAACTTCCTGAATTAATTTGCATGTATAACATTTAGAAACTGCATCAGAAAAACCCTACATAGGTTTATTGCAGAGGTTTTAGAGCTTTTGGTTCATGGTTGATTTAAAACACTGGCAATTGCTTTCAGTTTCAGAGGTACTAAATAAGCAATCTGAAATAAGATGACTTTTGTTGCACCAACTGATATTTTCCAATTAACTTCTTAAAAAGAATACCTTTGAGAATGTACTAGCTTCAGATGTTTAAAGCTCAAAACCATTAAGATTACACTTTTCCACTCTTGTACTATAACACTTAAAATTTCTGGGCAAGAGTCCACTAGGAAAAACAATAAAACAAGCACTTTGAAGAGCCCTGTCCTTCAAGCATATCATCTGAGAATGCAAAGCATGCTGTTCTACAGAAGATGCAGAATAAGGAATTCTTGGCTATTATGACAATATTTTATCCAATAGCTCTGGGGTTATTCCTGTTGGCCATAAGATGACATTTCCTACAATTATTGAAAGCAACCTGTTGCCAACTGAAGGAATTTAGAAGACTAGTAAGTGATAAAAGGAAGAAATACCATTCTTTAAGTTTATTTTGGAATTCCTATACCCTTTTAAAAGTGTTCTTGACTACTGGTCTTTTTTGTTTCAGGAATGTATTAGCCTAAGGTACATTAAGAATGCCTTGTTCCAGGTTGAAGATTACAAATTTTGAATGTATTCTATCAGGCATGGGTAAGTATGCTGTACATGAAAATATTGTGCTTAGCACACAAAGTATTGCCAGAGATACAGCTGGGACAAAGTATTGATCCAACTTGCACAATGTGCAATCTCAATGAAATTTCTTTGGCAATACTGCTGTTTCTAGACTTCTTTCAAAAACAGACATTTTGTTAAAAAATCCTAAAATCCTTTCAAAACACCAAGACTGACAATGAAAAATTTTCCAGCAATTTATCAGCACATAAGTAATGTTTTCCCAAAGCCAGGAGAATGTCATGTCTATCAGACCAGCCAAGCACTTGCACAGCCCAGGCTTCTTTGTGATCCTTCTGCAAGTGCTGGTTTGCCATGAGCCAGGAGTAAAACAGTATAGACAACTCTCCAAATCCCTACCTTTCACCAGTGAAAGAAAGGCTAACTTGTCCCAATAGGAATTCCCACATCAGATTCCAAAATACCCTTTTCAAAATAGTCTTACAATATCCAGTGAAACTAAAGTATCATAAATAAAGCTGGCAACTGCAATCTTGATCTGATTGTTTCCAAACCAGCCAGTTCTGACAAAAAAAAAAAAAACAAGCAGTTTTTCAGAGGCCCATGTCTTTAATTCCATCAATACCTACCTCACAGATCTCTCCCTATGTCAGGAACAGGGCTTCATTTTAACAGGAAAAAAGCACAAGCTTAAATTATCTCCACTTGGACAATATATTATTCCCAAGTAAGAAGAATGCCTTAAGTAGTAACATGAAACCAACTTCAGCTGAGGTCTAAAGTATATTCTTAGATTCCAATGTACACAGTAGAGCTGGACATCATGAAAAGGTCCTAAAACAAGGTAATTTAAGGACTGGTTTGCCTTCTTGAAACTTAGTTTTGTTATGAATTTCACATGGTTTCCAATAAAGACAAAAGTTAAGACACAATAGTTCTTAAAAAGGTTGCCATAAGATTGACGACAATTTATCACTGTGGTTTACATTTTAATAATGTCTGCATTTTTAAAAAATACCTGGACAAATAATCAAAGTACAAACAGTTCCTGCAAGAAGCATATCAGCTGAACCACTTTGATATTTTAGCCAGGATTTCTAAATCCAGATAAGCAAAACTAAGGGAGATTGCCTTGGAGGACTTGACACTGACAACCTTCTATTACTTTCCATGTACAACACCAGCTTAGCCTAGGGAGCAGAGCTGGCCTGACAGGTTCTATTTCTTCAATTAGTAGAAAAATGGAACATAGCACACAGCACATAAAAGGATCATTTGTCTTGGACTGTGACTTACAAGAAAGAGCATGTTTTAAGTAGCAAGTCCTGCTTGGCACTATTTTGTAAAGTGCATGATTTCTTAAAAGTGAATTACTGCATACTGGAACTCAGTAAAGAAGCCTGATGTCTTGTCTTCATTTAATGTCTTCATGTGAACACCTGAATGTGCAGAAACTAAGACAAATGCAGGAACCTGACAGGGAAATTAATAGCCTTGGAAAACACAAGACTAGAGAACAGCTAAACACCTATGGTACAGTGGAGTATTAAATGGTGACACATTAAAGTAAATGACAGTAGAAAGAGATAGACCACAAGAAAGGTCATCCTGTGGTGTTACAATAAATCTGGCAGAGGCTGAATGATAAGGAAATCTTCCTAATGTAACTACAGAATTATGGAATGATCCCTTGGAGAAAAACAGAAGGCTCAGCAAAACGTTATGCACACTCCCATATCAAAGCTAATGCATACACCCAGCTGGATTAGCCAGCATGTCCTTTCCATCTTCAGGTTCCCTGGATTCTCTGAGCTGACTCAAAGCATCCACTGACAATTGTGTTACCCATTCCATGATCTGGAGTGGAATAAATGCTAGAGTGCTGCAGCTCAGCATGCCTGTGTTGAGTAAGCCAATGCCTGTGGCAAGCAAGCCACATGCTTGCCAGTGAAATATTCCTAGTGTTATTTAAACCATGGCGGTTTAAAGTGCTAGTTCTACACTTAAACACCACATTATTTAAAGTCAATTTTAAATGTGAAATTCTATGAATAAGAAGATGCATCTACCTGCTTGGTTGGCCCCAGCTAGCTCCCAAACAATTTTCAGGATGCGCTGAACACAGATACATATTTTGATTTCTTATGCATGATAAGTTACTGAAACGGATTTCAAGCCCAGCTTTGTCTGAAAACCATTAAAGGGGGAAGAGTTTTCATTTCCATCATGAAAATGATATTTTGCAACTACAGTAGTCATAAAAGACTAATCATGACAGACAGTATTGCAGTCTTTTCTAATATGTAGCAAGTTTTGAATGGAACAAGTTCCCAGCACTGATGAAATCAGACAAGAGCTAAAGATTGCCCCAATGCAGTACAACTACGTATGTTTTGGCAAAGGGCAAAGGTGTGAATCTGAACTGAAATTCATTACCTATCACTACTACAAAGGTCAAATTCACACTAGGGCAAAGGAGATGTAAGATCAGAAACAAGATGAAGATTCCAGAACTGCATCTCATTTGATTAGAGATTTCTTTCAGATTCAATTCTCCCTACCACCACTCATTTTTTTTGGCAAGGCAGGTCCTTTTGCTCCTAGATAAGTACAGCCCCATTTCAACATGCACTGCCAGCCCAAAAGCCTCTAAGGCTTAAATATTTAAGTGCTTTTATTCAATACCATTTTTCCTTCCATGTAAAATTATGTGTAGCTGCTCTAAGCTCCACTTCTCAAATGTGGTAAGTAATTTCAGTAGGATTGTAAGCATTCCCAAATCAGCCAGTTTATATCTTAAATAATAGTAATGGCATAAGGGTGAAAGCAGCGTTTAAGCAAAAAGCTGTACCATCTGAATAGTAGTACATGTGTGGCCTTCCATTCCTTTCAAATGTCTTGGTATCCAACAAGCTGCTTCAGCTGTTTGTGTTTTGGGGTGGGTTTTTTTGTGGTTTTTTTTTTGTTTTGTTTTGTTTTTGTTTTTTGTTGGGTTGGTTTTCGGGGTTTTTTTGCATGTACATTTTCAGATGTGAGAACTCATACACTAGCCTCCAAGGAAAACTCCTATACAT